CTTCGAGGCTCAGCTCTGTGTGGCCATCCCAGCTTCCCTTATTCCCCCTGGGTGGCATGACCTGCTCTCTCTTTGGAATGGCATTTAAAAAAAATTGTGGCAGAAAACACATACCATAAAATTTACCATGTTAACCATTTTTAAGTATTCAGTTCAGTGGGGTCAAGTATATTCACTTTGTCGTGAAACAGATCTCCAGAACTTTTTCATCTTGCAAATCTGAAACTGTACCCATTAGACACCTCTCCCTTTCTGCTGGTATTGCATTTGATCTGTACCTTGACCACAGTGCCTTTCCTACCACGGACTGACTTGCAGTAAATCGAGTTGTGTAGATATGTATCTCTTCTACTAGATCTTGGACTTCTTCGGGACTAGGACTTTGTTACATGCTTTTCTGCATTCCTCACCTAGAACAATGTACCCGTACCCACAACAATGCCTGGCACATAGTATGTGCTCCAGTGTTTGTGAAATTGAATGTTACATTTACCATTTATTGCCTTATTTTCACTTGGTGTGTGTGTGTGTGTGTGTGTGTGTGTGTGTGTGTGTGTGAGTAAGCCTGCATGGTTTATGAGCCCTATGAGAGCAGGAGTTATGTCCAAAAGCATATGATGCAACCATGGGAAGAACTCAGGCTCTGGCTTTAGACAAGTCTAGGGGCAAATCCTGTGATGTTAGGCAGACTGAACTTAACCTTTTTGAGCATTGGTTATCTTAACTCTAAAATGGGGTTGTTGGGGCACCTGGCTGGCTCAGTCAGTAGAGCATGCAACTCTTGATCTTGGGGTTGTGAGTTCGAGCCCCATGTTGGGTGTAGAGGTTACTTAGAATTAAATCTTTTTTAAAAAATCAATAAAATAAAATGGGGTTGTTAACACAGACCCGAGAGAGCTGTTGTTGGTGTTAGATGAGCTCAGACATGTAAAGCATCTGGGCCATGATGCATCCTAGGGATGTTAGCTCCTGTCCTCTAAGGTGTATTTCTCCTCACACCACATGGTGCCTGGCATACAGTAGATACTTACTGAATACTTATTTTAGGTGGGTGGTTGGCAGAGCAGTCGGGTAAAGGGTTGGTTTTTAAAAACTTTTTTTTAAATGTTTATTTATTTTTGAGACAGAGAAATACAGAGCCTGAACGGGGGAGGGTCAGAGAGAGGGAGACACGGAATCTGAAGCAGGCTCCAAGCTGTGAGCACAGAGCCAGATGCGGGGCTCGAACTCACAGACTGTGAGATCATGACCTGAGCTGAAGTCTGATGCTTAACTGACTGAGCCACCCAGGCGCCCTGAAGGGTTGGTTTTTAAAGATCAGTGCAGGGGGGGCGCCTGGGTGGCACAGTCGGTTAAGCGTCCGACTTCAGCCAGGTCACGATCTCGCGGTCCGTGAGTTCGAGCCCCGCGTCGGGCTCTGGGCTGATGGCTCAGAGCCTGGAGCCTGTTTCCGATTCTGTGTCTCCCTCTCTCTCTGCCCCTCCCCGGTTCATGCTCTCTCTCTGTCCCAAAAATAAATAAACGTTGAAAAAAAAATTAAAAAAAAAAAAAAAAAGATCAGTGCAGGGGAGAGAGATGAGTGAGATAACAGCCCTCTGTCCCCTTCCTGCTGACCCTTGCCAGGTGTATAATGAGTTCATTCTGCCCTCGGAGCGAGCCGGATTCCTGAGCCGCATTCGGGAGATCATCCAGCGAGTGGAGACCCTGTTGAAGAGAGATACTGGCCCTGTGGAGGCTGCTGAGGACCCCCTGGGCCCCCAGGTCAGACCTCTTAGGTCATCTTCGTGGGGGGGGGGGGGGAACAGACTCTCTGCTCCAGACTTCATTACTCTCTGCCAACACCAGCCCCCGTGACTCTAACTCCTTCATCTGTGTGACCCTAACACAATGGTTCTTACCCCATTTGAGTATCTGATGAAAGCCACGGGCCCTTGTTCTAGAAAAATGTGTTCAATGCATACTTTTCTTTTTAACTCATTATTCTGGTAGAATTTCAGACTTACAGAGAGAAGTTGCAAGAATTGTACAAAGAACTCCTACTCTCTGCCCAGATTTGCCAACTATGACTGTTTTGTCATGTTAGCTTTATCATTCTCTTCTTCTCTCCCGTCTCTGTATGTATGTGCACATATTATTTTTTTCTGAACCATTTGGGAGTGAATTGCATACATCATACCCCTCTACCTGTAAATATTTAGCACATGCACTTTTGAGTCCCTTGAAACTCCTCTTTAGGCTCCTAGAAGTTCATGGGCTCTAGATTAAGCCCTGGCTGAACCGCCATCTAAGACTCAGCTCTTCCCCACTGTGACCATGGGCCCCTTCCTCTCCCTCAGGTGGAGCCAGCACCATTGCCTGCCCTCTCTGACCCCCTCCCAGACCCATCCCGTGGTATGTACTGCGTTCTGTCCCTACTCATCACAACCTTTGCAGCTGCTCCTGGGAAGGGCTTAGGGACTGGGGGACAGGGAACTCAGCACACCTTTCTCGCCAGCAGAGCTCCAGAGCAGCACCTCCCTGGAGCAGAGTTGCTGGGCAGCCTTCTCCACCTCGCCATCTTCTCCTGGAACCCCCTTGTCTCCTGGAAGCCTGTTTTCCCCCGGAACTCCTGTCTCCCCAAGTCCCATTTCCCCCATCACTTCTCCCCCATGTTGCCCCAGTCCTGTCCCATTCTCCCAAGTCTCTTCAAATCTCTCTCCACAGACCCTCAGCTCCCCACTGGCATTCTCCCCCAGTGCTGCCCAGTTCCCTGGCCCTGCCTCTCAGTCTCCGCTGAGTTGCCTTCTCCCTTCTCCACCTGCCTTCTCTCCCAGTTGTTCTCAGGTCACCATTACTCCTCCTTCCTTTCCCCACTGCCCCTCTGCTTCCCCCCTTCCCTCCACCACAGCAGCCCCTCTCCTCTCTCTGGCTAGTGCCTTCTCACTGGCTGTGATGACCGTGGCCCAGTCCCTGCTGTCTCCCTCACCTGGGCTCCTGTCCCAGTCTCCTCCAGCCCCTCCCGCTCCCCTCCCTAGCTTGCCCCTGCCCCCTCCCCCTGCTCCTTGTGGCCAGGATAGGCCTTCACCCCCAACAGCTGAGACGGAGAGTGAGGTGAGTAGGAAACCAAGAGGGATGGTTAGGGGAGCTCCACGCTGGATCATTTCCCTTCTCACGGACCCACACTTTGCAGGTCCCGCCAAATCCTGCTCGGCCACTCCTGGGCGAAGCCAGACTAGCGCCCATCTCTGAAGGTGAGGCCTCTGACCACTGGCCTTCCCCTGCCACCTTCCACTTCATACCCTGCCAATTTCTCTCCCTTCTTTCCTGACTCTTTTCTTCTCTCTCGACAGAGGGAAAGCCACAGCTTGTGGGGCGTTTCCAAGTGACTTCATCCAAGGAGCCAGCTGAGCCTCTACCCCTGCAACCAACATTCCCAACTCTCTCCAGTTCCCTGAAGCCTCCAACCCCTCAGCTGACCTCGGAGAGCTCAGACACAGAGGATAGTGCTGGAGGCGGGCCGGAGGCCAGGGAGGCTCTAGCCGAAAGTGACCGTGCAGCTGAAGGCCTAGTGGCTGGAGCTGAGGAGGAAGGGGACGATGGGAAGGAACCCCGAGGGGGGGGCAGCCCCCCACCCCAGAGCCATCCCAGCCCAGTGTGGATGAACTACTCATACAGCAGCCTGTGTCTGAGCAGTGAGGAGTCAGAGAGCAGCGGGGAGGATGAGGAATTCTGGGCTCAGCTTCAGAGTCTTCGGCAGAAGTGAGTCTGGGGAGGAAGGATAAGAGGTGGACCTGGGAGAGCAAAGCATGTGGCTAGCCCTCATGGTCCTGGTGCTTCCTCAGGCACTTGTCGGAGGTGGAGGCACTACAGACACTACAGAAAAAGGAAATTGAGGACTTGTACAGCCGGCTTGGGAAGCAGCCCCCGCCGGGTATCGTGGCCCCAGCTGCTATGCTGTCCAGCCGCCAGCGCCGCCTCTCCAAGGGCAGTTTCCCCACCTCCCGCCGCAACAGCCTGCAGCGCTCTGAGCCCCCGGGCCCTGGTGAGACCGCAGTGGCCAGGCTCCCTTCTTTCCCAGGTCCCCTTCCCTACTGATCTGGCTTTCTTCCAGGCCCTGGGGGTCTGCCCCTTGGTTTGGGGGCATTAGCCCCCCTCTCCCCGTGGCCCCTTCCTTCACTCAGTGCTCTCCCTCCCCATCCTGCACCCAGGCATCATGCGAAGGAACTCCCTGAGTGGCAGCAGCACCGGCTCCCAGGAGCAGCGGGCAAGCAAGGGGGTGACATTCGCCGGGGATGTTGGCAGGATGGTGAGGGCGGGCCCAAGGGAGGGCGAGCCCAGGGAATGGTAACTGGCTGCAGCTTCACCCTTCTCCCATCCTGAAGGTTTCGTCAGTGCTTTTTCTTTTCCCTCCAGTGAATTCAGAACAGAAGCCATGTGTCTCTCCCATACCAGGGCCCATGATGGAGTTCGTGCTCTCAGAATCTGCTGACCAACACAGCTCCGCAAGAAGACCCCAGTACTGAGGAAGTAGAAGGCCAAAGGGGCATGGAGAGTGCTGCTCCATTAGAGGGAAGAGCCAAACACAGGGAATGATTTACTGTGTAGAAGGTGTCAGTTCTGCAGCCTACCATCCTCATTCCTCCACCTCCCCAGCCAAAGGTCAACCACTAAGCAATTCCACTCAAGCCCTAATGCTTCTAGAGAGCACACTCCCAGCTGAACAAGTGTAGGGGGTGTACTCACATAGAATTGGCAACAGTCAATTAAAATGCCGAAAACTAGGAATCTGTGATTCTGACTCCGTTGTGTCTTAAGAACTGGGAGTAAAGGCTTGTGGGGTAAGGCAGGGAAAAATTTAGAAGGGACTCTCCTCACAATGGGAGCAAGGCTAGAAGCTGCCCCGCTTTCTGGCTTCCTGCCAGCAGTTCATGAGGAAACTGCAAGATCAACCAATGATGCACTTGACCAAGCTAAGATCTCATCTAGACCCCACCTTAGGCCTACAAAGCAAGGTCCAAGTGGAAATTAAAAGAATTTTAATTCCCTCATCTTTCATCTACACCTCTCAGAATGGGTAAAGGCAGGAAAGTTGGGAGTAGGGGTGTATTGTTTTTAAGGGTAGAGGACAAAAGAGTGACCTTCCCTCCCTGGAGACATAGTCTGGTCTCACACAGCCCAGTGACCTACCATGATCTCTCCCTTAAATCAGATGGAAACATCTCATGGAAAAAAGTAATTCTAGTTAAACATTTACAGCTCCCTGGGGCAATGCCACTGCTGCAGCTACTGCTTGTGGAGCTTTCCAGCATGGTCATGCCATCCCTCAGCCTCAACACACGCATCTTGGCTCCAAGAGAGGTGACTCAGTTTATTATTCTCAACCTAACCCCATCTTTTCCACTTTAGGTTCCAACACCACACAGAGTTGCCACCCCACCCCTATAACAGCTAAGCCCCTGGGAGGTGGAGAAGGTAAACCACAAAGTTAGAAAGACGGATAAAAGCCAAGGTCAAGGTTGTACAACTCTCAAATAAGGAAACATACTATAAGAAGGGCTCAGTGACTGGACACAGTGAGCATGAAGTGGCCAATATTCCCTTGACCAGGCCAAACGCAATAAATCCCTGGCTTCTTGGGCTCATTCATCGTCCAAGGTTGAGGCCAGCAATGCTGTGTGCAGGCTTTGATTTCCACAGGGTCATGGGGCATCATCCACCACGTGAAGGGGCTCCAGCAGGTTGGAGATGCATAGTGCCCATCTGGTTCAGGGTCCCGATGCCCTCTCCATGGCTCGGGCTCGGGCAGCTTTGGCCTCGTCCTCCAGCTCATCTAGGAAACGCTCCTGGGACACGGAGTAGAAGGTGTAACCATCTGGGGAAGTGGGTTCAGGAAACCACTTGGAGTATGCACATTGCCTTTTCCTAGCCTTGTTCCACCACCCTTGTTATTCTCTCACCCTCCCAAATCAGTGATTGGATCTTCTGCCCTCTGCTTTTCTGAGCCTTGATTATTCCGTTATTATTGACAAAGCATATTAAAAGAGCATCTTACAGTGACAAAGTAAGGTACATTAAACGCTTGGCTCAGCATCAGGAATGGCCAAGACTTTCACGGCTCTGGCTCTTTTTACCACCCCCACACTACCTAGTACTCGCCACTGTTCCCCTGTCTCTGCCCCCATATGCCGTCTCCTGAGCCTACAGTTTGAACGGATACAAATAGCTAACACCAGGGCCCCGATGCCCAGGCCGGTCACGATGTTCCGGGTCCGCCGCTGCGGTAGAGTCTTCTGCCACTGGGCGAGCTGCACCTGCCGCATGAACTGCAGCTGCGCGGGAGTCAGCTTCTCTCGAGTTGGGTCGATGCGCTGAGCCACGGGGGCCTTTCCACTCTTAGCATCGAGAGAATCACCAGCTCCTGGCGCCGCCATGTTGCCGCTCCGCCCTTCGTAACCCCAAGGCGCGGGGCTTGCTGGGAATAGCCGTCCTTTGCCGCAGCAGCGGACTCTGGGAATTGTAGTCCGCGTTTTCTTTCACGAGGGGAGTGCGACTCTTGGCCTTAGGGGAAGGGGGAGGGGGTGGCAAACCAACCGAGCTTTCTGATTGGCTGAGGGGTCCGTGGCCGTTAGGGCGAGAAAGGGCTATAGAAGGCTCGAGGCAGTGGGGGAAACTGGGTTTTCCTCAGACTTGAGGTGAAGACAAGCACACAGAAGGGGACGAGGAGTCCCAGACAGAGTGTGGCGGAAGACTGGGGTGAAGCTAAGGGGGTCGGTTTATGGATCCCGTGAGCCGTCCGGGTGCCCCCAAAGGCTTCTGAAAATGCAGGAACCTGTGAGGTCAAGATTGGCCTCCCTCAGTGACTTTCAATTTGGAGCTGTTGCCACGGAGACGATCGAAGACGCTCTGCTTCACCTGGCGCAGCAGAACGAGCGAGCCGTGCAGGGGGCTGCCGACCGGATGGGCAGCTTCAGGGAGACCCGGATCGTGGGTGTGGACCCAGGGCCCGGGAGATGGTTTTGTGGGAGACTGGGGCACCTGTCTGGGAGGCACCCCAGCCTGGAGGTTCTGTTTGCCTTCTTCATTCAAATAAGTGTCGTTAGTAACCACTATATGCGAGGTACAGGGGATACAGTGATGAACAAGATAACACCAGCACCCTACCCTTGATTTCAACCCATGTAGAGTGCTTCCCCGCACCGCTTGGAACAGAAGGACAAAACAGAGATTCAGCCCCTGCTTTCAAACCATGCCTAATCTTTAGAGGATATTAGAACAAATCTGTAAATGACCAGGCACAGGTACTGTTAGTTAAGTGACACAGCAGATAAAAGACGCTTTCTGGGGATGGAAAGGAGCGATAGTGTGAGGTGAGGTTAGGAAGATTTAAGAGTGTTCTCCAGGCATGGTAGACCTCAAAGCAGGATGAGGTTTTGGTTGATGAAGGTGGAGGAGGGAGGGGGGCAGCATTTCTACCAAAAGGGGCTAACCTGAGTAAAGCCATGGAAACAGGGAAGCTTAGGGTGAGTGGGGGTACAGTGGTTAAGTCCAGGTTGTCCAGAGCATGTGGGGGAGGAGTTGAAATTAAGACCAGAAAAGTAGTTTGGAGACATTCCATATGGGACTGTGAATGCCAAGGGCCGGGGTGGGGGACTGTTTACACTTGGCTTAGTAGGAAAACAAGAAGGCATTGAAGGTTTTCAAATAGGGGAGTGATATGACTGTAACCTTCCCCCTAGAAAAAATTATTTTGGCTGCGATGTATAGAATGGAGTGGAGTAGGGAGGGATAGGGGAGAGGTAGACCAGTAGGAATCTTCGGTCACTAGTTTAGGCAATAGGGCAGAGGGAATGGCAGGGGAGGATGGATTAAAAACATTTCAGAGACAAAATCTTGGGTTCTGCCGTGGGTGAATTTAAGAGGTGGAGAAGGCAAAGAAGACCACGCCAAAGGGTTGAGTCTAAGAGAATGGGAATATAGTGGTGCCATTAAGAGAAATACAGACATCTAGTAAAAAAAATAATACAACAGGGCATGACTTTTGTTTGTGAAAGAGAACAGCTTTGGTTTCAGATCCACTGAGTTTCAGGTGCTTGTAGAACCTCTAAAGGAAGGTTTCTAGTAAGATATTAAAAAAAAAAAAAAGTCAGAAGAGAGGTCAGAACTAAAGATAACGGTTTTGGAGTTATCTCCATAGTGATACTGTTGAAACTGGTAGAGAATGAGTCTGAGAGGGAGAAAAGAGAAGCAGGTCAAAGACATTTCCTCCCTTGGGAAACATTTTGTGTTCAGGCAACTGGAGTAGGGAGAAGAGTCATGAAGGGAATTCTTAAAAATAGGGAGATAGAGGGGCGCCTGGGTGGCGCAGTCGGTTAAGCGTCCGACTTCAACCAGGTCACGATCTCACGGTCCGTGAGTTTGAGCCCCGCGTCGGGCTCTGGGCTGATGGCTCAGAGCCTGGAGCCTGTTTCCGATTCTGTGTCTCCCTCTCTCTCTGCCCCTCCCCCGTTCATGCTCTGTCTCTCTCTGTCCCAAAAATAAATAAATGTTGAAAAAAAATTTTAAAAAAAAATAGGGAGATAGGAACAGAACCAAGGCACCTCTGGAAGCCAAGAGGAGAGTTTCAAGAAGGATGATGGTCAGCAATGTCAGCTGCCTCAGGGATATGAACGACGGGATTGAAAGTTGCAAAAAGGTGATGATGTTTAACAGTTTGGACCTGTTCTCTGGCCTTTGAGACCATCATTCCGGCAAGTTGATAAAAGTAGAAGCCAAACCACAGAACGTCAGGGAATTCACGAGGAAGTGGAAGCAGCAGGTTTGAGCAAAGGCTCTCAAGAAAGTTAACAGTGATGCAAAACTAGCTTAAGAGGATAGAAGGGGAGGGTCTTTCAGGTAAATGATGTATGTTTTTAAGTGCTGGAGGGAGAGCCAGCAGGAAGGGAAAGCGTAACCATCACCTATTGCATCTAACCCTAGCTCAGTTTGCTTGGCAAATTAAACTAGAAAATAGAAACAACTGCCCAGATAATTCAGTCCCAAACCAAACCCAAACAACTACACACACACACACACACACACACACACACACACCGAAGAAGTAAGGCCTAACCTCCAGCAAACAAAAGGACTAATAACACACAGTTCCGTGTGCTAGGGTATTTTGCTTAATTGCTTAAACTAATTATCTTCTGCATTGGGCACTGCTAGCAGGGCTTTAGTTTCTATGACAGCCAGGCTTTGTACATATGTGTAACATGTGTTGGGCAGACTGTTCAACTGTCTTGCGCCAGCTTAACTTTTATGTGCCTAAGAAAGGCAAATTTTCTCTGAAGACACATGGTCATTTGACTAGGCATAATTCTTTGCTAACCAGCGCTAAAAGTCCCAAGTTCTGTGGGAGCTTTCTTTGTTGAGAACTAACATTTACCCTTGTTTCCACCCTCTAATGATAATGCAAACTAAATAGAATTCTATCTGGGGCTGTTCTTTCAAAGAGAAACAGAGGCGGCCTAAGATTTTGCCAAGGTATCTTGCCCTTCCCATCTTCCCAATGCCCTTGCCCCCCTCACAGAGTGGGCTGTGGTCCCTGACGTAGGGGATATTTCTTCAAAACAAGCCACTCCCCAGTAACAAACTTGCTCCTGCGGACAGGCTCAGCCACTGCAGATTTACCCAACAAACGGGTGGTGGAGAGATGGTGTCCAGCTGTAAGGTGAATCCTGTTTGTAAAGCAATGGGAGTTCTCCAGAGGGTGGTTACTAAACAAACACTGTTGTGAAGAGTATTGAAGCTCCAGGAGGGACTTTTCTGTTCCTGTCAACATTCCACTGAAAACAGAATATAGGGGTTAGGGTTTTTATCCATCCAAGAATCTCTCTTGAAGCTGGAGGTTCCCAGCATGGTGTAGAGGCCAACTGGACCAGCTGGTATGTTTGTGTGTAGCTGGCCAAGCCTTTTATCAGCTGAGACCCACAGGAAGGCTCAAGGGTCACCAAGGGGGCTCTGTCAGCTTGGATCTGCCTGTTGGCAGGAAAGGGAACTAAGCTCAGCTTGTGTTGTTCCCGTCTCCCCCTTCTCAGCCCCTGACCCTCTTCCCTCGGCCCCCTCGTGGCTTTTACACAATGCCAGGAGTTCACGGAGTGGTTTTGGTTGCACCTTGTGAATTAGGCTCTTCTTTTCTGTTTTGGCAGAGTTTGTTTTTCTCCTGTCTGAACAATGGTGTCTGGAGAAATCCGTGAGCTACCAGGCTGTAGAAATCCTAGAAAGGTAAAGCCCCGAGCATAGGTCTTTGTGAGTGGTACCTCTCAGAATAGCTAATGTCTCCAAGTCTTAAAAAAGTACAGTTGTCCCTTACCATGAGACCTGGTTTTACACCCTCTGTTACTTACAAATGCACATGTCTCACCAAGGGACTGATATCGGAGAGGAGGAGATATAGCATAGTTCGATAGCACAAACTCCCTTTAGTTTGAGTGAGTGCGGATGGTTTACTCTCCCCTGCCCTTCCTTACAGGTTTATGGTCAAGCAGGCAGAGAATATCTGTAGGCAAGCCACGACCCAGCTGAGAGAGAAGACGGAGCCTCAGAATTGGAAAGCTCTGAAAGAACAGCTTTTCAATAAGTTCATCCTGCGTCTTGTGTCATGTGTTCAACTGGCGAGCAAACTTTCCTTCCACTACAAAGTAAGGAACTGGGGTCTCTCATGGACACCTGAATGTTAGGAGTAACCAGCTCGTCCAAAGGTGACTGTGAGAAACCTGCTCCTAAGCTAGGTGTTACTACTCCTGTGGAAATTCCAGAGTGTGATTATGCTTCCTAGGCATACCTCCTACACATGCACACACACACACACACACACACACACACACACGCACGCACAGTCACACAGAGGCAGTTATTAATTAGCCTGAAGTTCTGTTCCCAAAGTATAATTGCTGGACAGATGCCACCATTCATACAGGTCACCTTTCCTCCCCTTGGACTCAAGGACAGTTTACATAAGGTGCCTGAATTACCAACAGACCTATCAGTATTAAAGACAAATGGTCACATTTATAGGGGATAAAATGTTTCCATACCCCTACCCAATGCCTGTATAGTAAAATACCATTCACTCAACAAATGTTCACTGTCTTCTATGGTCAGATGCTGCACTAGGTGCCATGGGTACAACATTAAACATATTGCCTGCGATCTCAAGGAATTTATTATCCAATGAGAGAAGACATGCAGGCAAATAATGTGGGAGAGTGCTCTGATTAGTGTAAATACAGATGGCTATGAATGTACACCCACAGCCTTGGAGAGTCAAGGAAGTATATTTAGAGACCATGACTTTTTGAAGGGGGTATGGGCAGGAGATGGGAAGGTCCTTAAAAAAGATGGAGAGGAGTTAAGGAAAGTGGGGAGAGAGGAGGGGGAGGAAAGGGAGATCCAGACATAGGAAACAGCACGCATACAGGCCTGGAGAGCTGGACGGGCTCAGAAACTGCAAGTAATCCTATATGACGGCGTGGGGGCGTAAGGGGCAATTACTAAGAGAGAAGACGTGATGAAGGCATGGGCTGGATTGTGAAAAGCTTTGTATACTGTGCCAAGATGTATGACCTTTATTCTGACACCCTTCTCTCCCTCTCACTGTTTTGTTTTTCTTTGCTCAGATTATCAGCAACGTTACAGTCCTGAATTTCCTCCAGTCTCTGGGGTATGTGCACACTAAGGAGGAACTGCTGGAGTCAGAGCTTGATGTTTTGAAGTCCCTGAACTTCCAAATCAATCTGCCTACTCCCCTGGCATATGTAGAGATGCTTCTGGAGGTTTTAGGTACTTTATTACGCGTGTCAGAGAATATGGGTTGGAGTCGTCCATAGAAGGCAACAAGAATGTGCCCAGAGGTTTGGAAGCCGTGGAAAGAACCTGCCAATGAGAAACAGCAGGAAGTCGGGGGTGGGGGGGGGGGGAGCAGGAAGACTGGGGACACAGTCAAGTGTCCCCTCTGGTACTTGTCAGGGAAGGAAACTCAGGTCTCAGCACCTGGCTTCTATTTGGACTCACTAGGCACTCTTGCTGTAGGATCAAAGAGGTGATTTTCTAGAGAGGTATGAGATAAGATGGGAACAAACAAATATACTCTTATCTGTATATATATACTGTAGATGGAGATTTCTCTACCTCTCCCTTTATCCTTTTTTTCTTTAACGTTTATTTTTGAGAGAGAGAAAGAGAGAGTGGGGGGAGAGGGGCAGAGAGAGAGGGAGACACAGAATCTGAAGCAGGCTCCAGGCTCTGAGCTGTCAGCATAGAGCCCGACATGGGGCTCAAATGCGTGAACCGCAAGATCATGACCTGAACCAAAGTTGGATGCTTGATGGACTGAGTCACCAGGCACCCCTCCCTTTATCCTTTAAAATTGACCTCCTGGGGCACCTTGGTTTAGGCTCAGGTCATGATCTCATGGTTTGTGAGATCAAGCCCCATGTCAGGCTCTACACTGGCAGCACGGTGCCTTCTTGGGATTCTCTCTCTCTGCCCCTCCCCTGCTCGAACGCACACACTCTCTCTCAAAATAAACATTTTAAAATCGACCTCCAAAAAAATAAAAATAAAATAAAATTGACCTCCCAACTAAAGAGATTTCCTACAGAACTCATTATCATTAGCTCAAGAGCTTTATGTCACATGACAACGGTGATTACGGTCAGAGAAGATGCACTTAATGTGCTTTACCATGCCCACACTCCATCTAGGATACAATGGCTGTTTGGTCCCAGCCACACAGCTGCATGCAACCTGCCTGACCCTGCTCGACCTTGTCTATCTCCTGCACGAACCCGTATATGAGAGCCTGCTCAGGGCTTCAATTGAAAACTCCATACCCAGTCAGCTGCAAGGGTAAGGCAACTCCTTTAGGGTAGGCCTCTTCCAGAAATAGCGAGTTAGGAACATACCTCGAGAACATACCATGGGAATGGAATTTCCCCAGTAAGGCATCCAGGCCACAGATAACCTGCACAGGTTACCTGTTTTTAATTAACTTCCAGTATTGCTTGGATGCAGATGACTAAGCCCAATCAGCAAAACTCTGAAGTATTTCGTTTTAAATTTAAATGACTTCAGGTAATTAACATACTTTCTTTCTTAGTTCTTCCTTTATGGCTGCTTAAATTTGAGATTACTGGACGGCCTTTATAGTCACAGGGCTGCAACTTGGACAAAAGTGGTTGATTACTGTAAAGTCAGACTGGTAAAAAGACTCACAGTTACATTTGTTAGGAAGACCGATGGGACAACAAAAGGCCCATAAACGAGTCAGAAGGCTCAGGTTTTAATCCCAGTTGGGCTGGGGAGGGGGTCAATTAGCTATTATTTGGCCATTTCCTTCCATATCTCAAAAAGTCCAAGATGATCAACATAAACAACTCTTAGTTGAAGTTCCATGACCCTCGGGTTTGGAAGATCAAATTTCATTCTAGCTCCAAAATTAATATGGTTTTAATCACTCAGGGAGAAGTTTGCTTCAGTGAAGGAAGACTTCATGCTGTTGGGAGTAGGAATCATTGCGGCAAGTGCTTTCATCCAAAACCATGAGTGCTGGAGCCAGGTACGCACCACTGAGCAGGACCAGCACGGTCAGAATTCACTTAATAGAAAGCATTCTCCCATCAGTTAGAGGAAAAGAAAAGACAACTTCTAAATGATAAGTCAAGACCCAGGATTAGGATGAATAAGCAGGATTTGGGAGAGGAAATGCTAGAGGAGGTCTGAAAAGCGCTCTCCAGTTTTTCCCTTATGGAGCTGGAAATGGAGGTCCGTGTTCAGCTCGTTCATTTCCCTTTCTGACAATACCCACTATCATGTTCAAGTCCAATAAGTATATCGTCCCAAATAGAAGACAATGTCAAGGCGCAAGTGTCCCATTTATATTTCACAGACCTTATCTCCAGCACAATGAGATGTCTAGCAGAACCTTTCCAGGCTAACACTATCAGGGTAAAGGTATCCATCCTAACGTAATTTGGCCATTGGCAAACACTGGGATCTGGATTTAATCATCTCGGTAAACTCAAGAGAAATGAAAAAATTTACATCTGGCTTGAGAGAACAGCATGAGCGATGTGTCTGTGCACTAAAACACGTGGAGATTATTTAGTAATAAAAAAAATCCGTCTATTTCTGAAGGTTGTGGAGCATTTGCAGAGCATCACTGGCATTGCCCTGGAAAGCATCGCTGAGTTCTCTTACGCAATCCTGACTCACAGCGTGGGTGCCAACACTCCAGGGCGACAGCCTGTCCCCCCCCACCTGGAGGCCAGAGCTCTGCGGGCTGCCACTTCCTCCAACACGTGAGGCGGGCTCCACCCACCAAGTATTCAACAGCCTTCACCACTGCGCTTATCCCTCCTTTTGTTTACTCTTCAACTCAGGGTACAAAAGTTCCAAGTATCTTTTGGACTATGTTTTGTGTTCCAACTTCATGTGCGCTTTTCTGCATCGGACAAAGAGTCAAAGTTGACAAGCATGTCCTTTTTGTTGTATCAGACTGAAAATGTCAAGGAGCTGGGAGGAGATAGAACATTAGTGAAGTTGGTTCGTTTTTGTTTAACAAGGTATTTATAGCTTTTCCTTAACTGTTCATTTCACTGAAAGAGAACATAGGATGTGGAAATTGGTGTTAACCAGGGGCTTGAAAACCGAGACTGTTTGGGTGACCTTGACTGAGCATCAAGGAGGCAGCCTTTATTTCCCCTTAAAGTTAGTTTAACATCTCTGTTCTGTCATTGACATGTACACAAATAGGGCTTCCTCCACAGCTGTCTATTGCCATTAGTCTTTTTTAAAACTAACACCAATCCATCTCTAAACATGTTTCAACAGAGCTTTCACATACCTGCACTTGAACTCAATACTCCCAGGATACAAAGTGCTCTATTTTAGTCAACAAAAAAACCAGCAGTGCACTTCTGGGCAGTTATCAGACTGCAGTAAATCTTTTATTACAAATAATTAAATCTCTCCATAATGTCTCAAACAATATCAAACACCATTTCATATCTCTAACAGAGAGCAGAGTAGGCATTCAGCACTGGAAGCAAGTGAGGACAAGTGTTAAATTGCAAGCTTCTGATCACATCATCTGGTGACCAAAGCTTATGTGTCATTTTCTCACGTTATCCAGCTGTACGTCTCACACATCTCGTCGTCTCAGTGGAGACAAAAGTTTCTATTTCATATTGTAAGTGCAGGAAGTTGAGAGAGATAAAACCCAGTGAAAACACATTGATCTCAATTCAACTCAGTTAACAAAACAAAAACAAAAACAAAAACAATTTTAAATTAGTTGTTTTGAGGGGAGAGAGGGAAAGGAAGGTTTGGGGTTAAGAGTCAAACCTATGACAAAGGCTGATAGCTGTACATGACACATTGTAGCCCTGGAAACTATCTGTCACATGATATCCTGAAATAAAGTGGCTTTTGTAGATTTTTTCTGTTTTGGTATTGTAAACATGTGCTGTTAATAGTACCCGAATTTAATTTAAAACATTTTTTTTTTTTTTTTGCAAACAAAACAAAATTTAAAGCCTTTAAGGCAAACATCTCCCTAAGAAAAAAAGTCATTTGTTATAAAACTGTGAGGATACCCAAGCAAGACCCCACTTAAGATTCGTCAGCATGAACTTGAGAGCTTTTGTCCACTGTTCCTCGGAGTTAAACTGGGTTTTGATGGAATAGGAGCCGCCACTGCCTCCTGTGTCTTCAATCTTGCCTTTCTCCACATCCATCCTGCAGATGCACACAGCAGAGCTCATTAGTAACTGAGATCCGAGTTAAGTCAGTTCAGGCAAACGGGCAGGGACTTGATCATGGGACCATTCACGTCATTTTATCTATTAAAGAACTCTTGGCGAGGAATGGTAGTGTATTTTGGATTTGCTTAAAAGCCAAACATCAAGAAGGCTGTCACAAGAGCCTCATTGTCATTGCAGAGTACAGGGACAGGACACACACCCAAACAAATGAGAAGCCTGGAGCAGAGGGTAAGTGAGGGTTACAGTACCCCTGACTGTTTTCCTAGGCATCCCTGAACTCATGGGGAGAGAAGGGAGGCAGGAGAAAAGAAATGCTTTGTTTTGGGGTGACAGAAGCAGCTCAGCCTTGTTCTCTTGAACTAAGGTCTGCATCTATCACTGGGCTCCTACAACATTTGACCAAAGGAAGCATTCCTATGTATTTCCAAGGGCTTAAGAGGAAAGCTTCCTGAAATTAGAGAGCCAGCTTGAGCTCTGTGCTAAGAAAATCCCCCAGAGCACCGAAGAGAATATGTGACCAGAGATGGTCATATTCTGTCCTGCTTATAGTGTGGAATCACTCTTTGCCCATCAGTGTCATGATTTTGCTTTCCTACCATTTAGACTATGTTTTGCCTCCATTCTTACTGTCCCTTTGGTTATGCTCTATTTGGTCCTACTCTAGGTTCATGGAGCATTAGGGAATACTGACCTGTAAGGAAGACAAAAACGTGTCTCGCCTTTCTCAACCTCTTCTTTGAACTGCTGCACACAGTCCAGGAAAGCCACCATGGCATGGTCAAACTTGTTGTCCCAGAAAAACCGCAACCCCCCAGAACAATATAATGGCAGCTCCTGCCCAAGAAGAGAGAACTGGCTGAGGGTGTGGCACCAAGACAGGCTACCAGAGAGTGTTCCCAAGACTCTCCATTTCTCAAGTCCTGTTTGTCTGTATTTCACTGGAAGCAGTAATCCTGGGCAAATGCAATGCCCAGGAACTGTTTTATCACCAGAGATGTATTAAATACCTCACAGTGACTCCTTTCCTAGCCTACCATACACATCCCCCTCTGATCTGCCCTTAGCCCTTTTCGACAGACTGTAAAAACCTACTTTTTGTCCGTAGGCCCCAAAGAGCTAATCCTGAACTAGACAAGGCATTGAACAAGACATAGGATCATGAGACCCCTCCACCTAAGGAACAAACTAAGAAATGCTATTATCAAAAGCAAACCATTTCGTCAGGAGGTACCAGGATTCTGCATCCCACTGAAGATGGGGCTTCCCAGAGTACCTTAGATTTGTCTGTCAGAGACTCCAGATATGAATGGTTTCCATAGGGAACAAGTCGATACCTAAAATGGAGACGCATACAGAGGTGGATACAGGGCTCCTCCTGAAGCGATTATTGAAATGCTATAACCCAGTGATTTTCATGCTTCATCCTATCCAAGGACTACTTTTACTATTTCCACCTCTGTCTCTCATCTCCCCATAGCCTCCCATGTTTAAAAGATTCTGTTTACTGAACTACGTTTATTACGTAATTGTCTGGGGGTCTTTCACAGGTAAATGTAGGTTTTGGTTTAGGCTGAAAAAAAAAAAACAAAAGCTAAAAACAGCCGGAGGAACCCCCAAGGTTCTGGAGACGATGGGTTGGGGACCACAGCTACGGTCATGCAGCTCAAGGACTGCTTGATGAGTGGAAAGCGACTTTTCTGGGAGTCTCTACCAGAAGCCGACCAGAAGCCAATGGGAGTCTCCACAGGCAGAAAACTCTCCGTGTGTTGTGAACAAGGGTTCTTGCCGCAGCAGAGGAGAGTACCAGGCTGGAAATACAAATTACATCAAAGACACGCCACACCCGGGGGGCGTCTGGGTGGCTCAGTAGGTTGGGCGTCCGACTTCGGCTCAGGTCATGATCTCGCAGACCATGAGTTCGAGCCCCATGTCAGGCTCTGTGCTGACAGCTCAGAGCCTGGAGCCTGCTTCAGATTCTGTGTCTCCCTCTCTCTCTCTGTCCCTCCCCCACTCATGCTCTATTTCTGTCTCTCAAAAATAAAAATAAACGTTTAAAAAAAAAAACCAAAGACATGCCACACCCCAAGAAAGGGGTGCACTTCTTACCTCTGGAATTTCAGACCCATCTTATTGGCCAGGGCATGGAGTAGCAGCACTGTTTGGCCCCACGCAGCATTGATCTCATTCCATTCCACAGGAACACTGGGCAGGCGACCCAGTCGGAAGTTATTGATTGTGCCAAACTGTCCACTGTGCCTAAGGCAGGAGGGCAGGAGAAAATACAGGGAGAACTCAACACTCGTCAACTTTGAGACTTCCTGTTTGCACCTGAACGCTGGTATAGATCTCCCTCATCTCCAGATTCATGGTAAGCTTTATTTGGCACTTTATTTTTTCTTAGGTAAGCTCTACACCCAACGTGGGACTTGAACTCACAGCCGTGAGATCAGGAGTCATATGCTCTACTGACTGAACCAGCCAGGCGCCCCTCTACTAGGCACTTTATTTATTTTTTTAACATTTATTTATTTTTGAGAGACAGAGAGAGACAGAGCATGAGCAGGGAAGGGGCAGAGAGAGAGGGAGACACAGAATCTGAAGCAGGCTCCAAGCTGTCAGCACAGAGCCTGATATGCGGGGCTCGAACTCACAAACCGCAAGTTCATGACCTGAGCCGGTCGGACACTTAACCGACTGCGCCACCCAGGCGCCCCTCTACTTGGCACTTTAAATACACATCTGGGGCGCATGAGTTGGCTCAGTCGGTTAAGCATCCAACTCTTCATTTTGGCTCAGGTCATGATCTCCCAGTTTGTGAGTTCAAGCCCTGCACTGTCAGTGCAGAGCCTGTGTGGGATTCTCTTTCTCTCTCTCTGCCCCTCCCCTACTCGCACTCTCTCTCTCAAAATAAATGAACTCAACATGTTAAACAAATACAAACATAGGTAGGTAGGTAAGTAAATAAATAAATATATGTCCAAATGTGAGCTGTCATCTTTACCCCTTGTGCTCAGATGCCAAAGTAGAAACAGGGGCATCACCCTTGAATGCTCTCTCCCTGCTCCCTCCCCTCAAAAACCACCAAGCTCTCGGGGTGCCTGGGTGGCTCAGTGGGTTGGGCGTCCGACTTTGGCTCAGGTTATGATCTCGCGGTCCGTGAGTTCGAGCCCTGTGTCGGGCTCTGTGCTGACAGCTCCGAGCCTGGAGCCTGTTTCAGATTCTGTGTCTCCCTCTCTCTCTGACCTTCCCCCATTCATGCTCTGTCTCTGTCTCAAAAATGAATAAACATTAAAAAAAAATTTAAAAAAACCAAACAACCCACCAAGCTCTCTTGATTGGACTTCCTAAATCTCTTCCATTTGTCCATTTTTTCCCAAACTCCATGCCACTGCTCTATCTTTTCCTGCTTAGAGTCCTACTGACAAGTCTCCTTACCAAAGGCACTGTCCTCTCCCTGCCCCGCCCCCATCATCTCCCACATTGCAGGTGAAACTATCATTTACAAATGCAAAAGTAATTATGTCACTTCCCTGCCTAAAATGCTTCAGTGGTTTCCAGTGCCTTTTGGATGAAGTCCAAATCCCTTAATGAGACCTACAAGGTCCTTGGGGGAACTGGTCACTCTCCAGTTTCATATCCTGTCACTCTCCCCTTCACACTCCATCTCCAGTCACAATAAGCTCCTTTCAGTTCTTCGGATGCCCCA